CCCCAAAACCCCAAAACCCCAAAACCCCGCAATTCAATATAGAAATGAGCAGATAATATATCAAAATTATGCAAAAAATGAATAAAATTTTACTCAATTCCATTTCATAAACCAATCAAACTGAAGGGATGAATCCGTTTGGCATTATGTTTTTGTAAAGCATGTAATTTACGAATTGTTCTGGTAGCTCCTTAAGCACTTCACTTGCAAGACCTGGGTAGTTTTTAGCATGGTCTCTGAATCTAACGAATTAAACAATATCCCTGACTGCTCTTTGTCCAAAGTTATCCTATAAAATTCTCTCATCAGCATCTAGTTCCCTCATCATGGTAAAATTTTCATTGCCCACTCCAATAATAATGACACTTAATGGAGTCTTTGAAGCCTCTACAAGAATTTGTTTAGTCTATTGCATGTCATGGATCTCTCCGTCTGTTAAGATTAAGAGCACATTATAAATTTATTCATTTTCTCTAGATTTTACTATTGCTGTGATCTAATTGAGAATATGAGAAAAGTAAGTTGGTCCACTAAGCTCTATTCCAGGTAGGTTTTATCTATATAGCTATAGAATCCCTGCTGTTGAAAAAACAAATGGATTTTCATAAATTCCATTTAGAGGGAAGCAATGATTTACAAGGTTTTAGCCCATAAATTTAGGGATTCCTCCAAACCCAAAAACTGGGAACATTCTATCAGTATCATAACATTCCAAGATACTACCTACCTAAGTAATAGCCATTTCATATTAATTCTAATCTCCAAGATAATGCAAAGATGATGGCCATGAAGGGTTACCGTTTGAGCCAGTATAATCGATTGCAATAGACAAGTTGATACCCCAACCTGATTAAAGATACTAAATGAAAGTGGGTTTCTCTTTAACTTATATGTGATTTATCATCAATTAGCCCAAAACCCTGTGATGTCTATCTTTGATATCATGGCAATTAACATCTTAAAGTTATTGAACAGAGGCAACAGTTTCACCTATTACATGAGAAGTTCCATCTATGTTATTATTAAACTTGAAAAGAAGTGGTTTATTCTTATCTGAATTGCAAAGCTTTTACCCTTTTATGCTTATAGGAATGAATCCGGTGGTTGTAGTGTCGGATCTTGTGATTTCACTAACATATTAAGTTAAGAATCTGTTAGTTCCACCAATATTTTCAATTCTTTGAATCTCCAATTAATGCCTCTTTTCACTCATACAAAGGCAAGTGGTGTGACCAGGAAGATTGATTGCTGATAATCTCAAGTTTACGTCCCAAGATGATACTTTTAGTGGAATAACTTAAGCAATCAATACGCTTTTAGTATCTGTGCCTCCTTTTAGCAGAGGAATCTCTAATTTGAAACCCTAAGATCCTGCGATTTATCCGACAGATGCTTCACACTCACCAAGTGACTCATATTTCCCTGGGGAATCTTCATCTAACATTTCGAATCTAAGGTATTGATGTGACTCAAACTGATAGAAGATCTTGAAATTTGTCTTGAACACAGGATTTAAGTTGTCTTTAATTACTTCTGTCTCTCCAAGCTTTGACCAGGCCGACTTTGTATCTGTTCTAATTAAGATTCTACACATTGGATCAGATTTTGATAGTAAATCTAAATTTTTTAGATGTTGAGCTGAAATGTAAAGTTCTACTTCTGCTCCTATTTATTGTATGGATTCCATTAATTTTAGCCTAATAAAATCTTTATAATTAAAGATATGTTTTTTTACTATTTATAAATCCTAATTCATTTTTAATATCGGTTGAATATAGATAAATGCTGTCTAGAGGGGTTTTGGGGTTTTGGGG